GAGTAGCTTACAATCTCCTTTCCCTTCTCCTCCTCACAACAGACACCCCGTGAGGTAGATGGGGCTGAGAGAGCTCTGAGAGAAACTGCTCTTTTTCAAGAACAGCTCTGACAGAACTTGTGACTGACCCAAGGTGGCACCAGCAGCTGCATGTGGAGGAGTGGGGAATCTAACCCAGTTCTCCCTGATCAGAGTCCACGCTCCTAACCCCGACACCAAACTGAATAGACCTCACCCCCTGAAATCAAGTATTTGCGCATGACCACTTTTCTGCGTGGAAAAATGATCCACTCCCGGACCCTGATAGCCCAGGCAAGCCAGATCTTGTCGCATCTCAGAAGCTAAGCAGGGCAAATACTTGGAAGGGAGACCTTCAAGGAATATCTATCAGGGCTTGGGACACAGAGGCAGGCTAATCAAGCCACCTCTCTGATAAACAGCCAAGCCCCCAGTCGGGGTCGCCAGAAGTCAACCATGACTTCCAGGCAAGCTCCCAAGAACTCACCCACGATCCGCATTTGAGTGAGGATTTCTCTTTGGCAGCACAGGGGCCAAACTGTTGCAGGAACAGCAGGGAGAAGACTGCAGGAGATATAATCTCGGGGTTTCCCTCTCTCCTTGTGCTCGATGTTTGCTTTTGCATTAAGAATTTTTCTCTCTCCTGTCAGGGAGGCAACGACTATGAAATCTACACCGACCCCAGAACCATCGGCCACAGCGTCACCTCGCCGGAGCAGACGAAGCAAATCTGCGAAGGGCTGTTCTTCAACTGAAGCAAAGGGACTCGTTTCAGACAGGACCGCCTTCGGCACCTCTCAAAGCCGGAGCGGAAAGGTGGCTTCCTCGAAAAGGACTCCAGAAGCCTGGCTGTATTTGGCTCCACCCAGGCAGACAGTGAGTCCCTCAACACTAAGACCCCCTCGTTTTCTCTCCCGCCGCTGCCACCGCACTCATCTGTGTTGCGACGTCGCTGCGACATTTGCCCTTCCTCACATCACTGGCTGACGTCGGTCAGGTCGCTTGACAAGCCGACGAGGCCGCGGCACGAAAAGGAGCGATCCTCAAACTGGGGAGGGAGGAGTCTACGCTGGGGTCAGCAGCAGCCCCGTGGCGTCGGTCCACTTCCACACGGAAGCTGCACGTGTACCTCTCTGATCTTTTCAATCCGGCCTGTTGATGTGCGTTCGTGGACAATTAAGTGTGCCTTTTGTTCTAGGCCTCAGGGGGTCCAACGGCAGCTAAAATGACCTCAACGCGGTACAATCTGGGCAAAGCTAGGAAAAGCCACGAGTCCGGCTTTGATACAAGACCGGATCCAGAGAACTGCCTTTCCTTCTGCTGGTACCCCTTCACTGTTCTGGTACAAAGCACACAAAAAAACCGCTGGGTAAAGATAAACAAAAGTGTATAAAAATAACAAGGTGTTCTTGCAAGAAACAACAGCAATACAGAAAAATAGAACAGTAAAGTCCCCCACAATTTCAGTGCGTCTCACTCCTGTTGTATTGTAATTCCATAGTCCAACTGGACATCCCTCCATCATAGACTGGACTCGTATAGTTCCCCAGTCTCCATAGAAGCACATACAGAAGTCAGTATATTCTGTCATAAAGGACACACTGGGATTTTGGGGGACTTTGTTTTTCTATTTTTCTGCATTACTGTTGTTTCTTGCAAGAACACCTTGGCTTTATATAGTTATATATATGACGGTATTACCGAACTTGGCATTAAATATTATTTTTACACATTTTTGTTTGTCTTTAGCCGGCGTTTTTGTGTGTGTGTGCTTTGTACCATTTCATGTGCGCTGGTTCCACTTCCTTTTTTGGTCTTTTTCTGCTACCCCTTCACTGCCGGGCCGCTGTCACTCAATATAGGTCCCGCGACCCTGGAAACTGGCTTTCTCCCAGTTCGAAAGGGCGGCCGTGGAGAAGGAAGGACACAGAAGGTTTGCAGTACAAGGAGATGTCTGGATCCAGTGCACAGTCGGCCCTCTGGCCGGCTCTCCTGTCGTTACGCAGAGCATTCCTTCTTGCCAACAGAGAAAAATGCAGATGTGTATCTAACATGGAAATAAGGGAAACTGTCGAGTGTCACTTGTGTAAATGGGGGAACCGAATAAATCTATTTTTGGCTGTTCACGGCAGTTTCCTTCTGTAACAAATACGTTTCGGATTAGTGTGTCAGAAGCAGCTGCATATCTAGGTAGAACAAAGTTGGGAGTCCAGGGGCGCCTTTAAGTCCAACAAAGTTTCATTCGCGGTATAAGCTTTTGTGTGCACGCACGTTTCCACGGATTCCTCATGCCTGCACACGAAAACTCATACCTTGAATAAAACGTTGTCGGTCTTAAATGTACCACTGGACGCTAAATTTGTTCTACTGCTTCAGCCCAACACGGCTAACCACCTCAATATATGTAGGTAGAGTCACACTAGTTTTATTACAGGGTTCAATACATTGAGTATAGATAGGAAACTGGTATTCCTTGGAGGTCACCCATCCCAATACCAGCCAGGGTCGATCCTGCTTAGCTCCTGAGATCTGATGGGATCGCGCTAGCCTGGGCTATCAAGGTCAGGGTACACGGCTGGTCTAAGCAGGGTTGTGGTTGCAGCCTTTTGGGCACTGAACCACCAGTTCTGATTTGCTGGGAAGGCGAGAGGGCAACTTCTCTTTTGCTGGCCTTAGCTGTGGTTTCCACATTTCACCACCAGAGGGCACCATCTCTTTTCCCTCTGCCATGCAGTATCTCAATGTGACCACCAGGTGGCAGCATCTCTTTCCCTGGGTTTCAAAGCCAAAGAGATACAGCAAAAGGTGTACAGAGACCCGTCACCTACACTTCCGGTCGCGGGGCGTCGTTTTGGGCTTTCTTGCGAACGCACACACCGCTCCGGCTTGGGTGTTGCCTCGGAAGGGGCGACCAGTACGGAATCCTCCGGCGCTGACCCTTCTTATCCACCTGGACAGCCAACCAAATGCTGCACGGAACGCTGGAGAAGACAGTGCGAGTTTCCGCACGGGCCGCTTATGAAAGTGCACCTGGCTTCCGAGCCAAAGAGGTAGAAACAAAATGCACGAGGGACCCGCTATGGACGCGTCCGGTTTACAGGAGGGCGTCGCTGTGGGTTTTCTGTATCCACACGGCACCGAAGCTCCGGTTGTGCGTCGCGTGGGAAGGGAAGAGTGGCCTTGCCTTCCTCCCCACTCATTTATCCACCTAAAAAACATTGTGAGAAGTTAGGTGAACAGCAAGCCTGGTCTTGGGCCAAGGGCTGCAGGTGGATTGGAACTCAAGACCCCCAGAGAATGATCTATGTTCTGCACCCTGTTTAAAAAAAAAAAAAAGGAAAAACAAGCATTGTCCTACGGTTTCCAACCTATTGGGGAGAACTGAACTTCATTTTAAATCATACTTTATGTTGATAAAATAGGTAGTTCCAGCTGCCACCAGGAATTCTCTTTAAATTCCAAATCCCCTTTCTGCTCCTGGTTTTGGTATTGTGACCCAGGGTCTTGGCTTTTGAGGATCTATGTGGTCCTGAGGAATAATGGATCAAGCTTCTGGGATAAACTTAAATAAAAAGGATTTACTGAAAGAACAAATTAAGAGGTTGTTTAAACTGCAACTGTTTAGGAAATAGGTATTTAGGTAAATAAAAAGGATTTATTGCAAGAACAAATTAAGAGGCTGTTTAAACTACAACTGTTTAGGAAATAGGTATTTGTAAGTATGTATGTCAACTGTATCACACAGGCTATTCTCTTTGTAACTTTAACTCTCTTTAAGAACTGTAGTTTCACTTTACAGGTATATACTGCTTTCTCTCTCTCTCTCTCTGATACCACACAGCACTGACTTCACATAGAACTGATTCCGCACAGAACTTTCAGCTCGCTCGCTCGGACTCCACACAACACAGCACTGTCAGAGCTCTCACGGACCCGAAATCCAACTGAACCACATCAGCTGCTTCCCCCCCAACTGTCATTTTTCAAACGGTCACTCTCCAAACTCTCAGACACGCCCACACAGAATAACTCCTCCCACACTCTGCCAGCCACCAATCACGGGCACACTAGTTGCTATCAAACATTTAAAGGGACACACCCACTCTCAAACAAGGAATCATTACAGAGCTGTCCTTGAAAAAGAGCAGTTTGTGTCAGAGTTCTCTCACCCACCTCACAGGGTGTCTGTTGTGGGGAGGGGAAGGGAAAGGAGTTTGTAAGCTGCTCTGAGACTCCAAGTGAGGGGCGGGGTATAAATCCAATCTCCTCTTCTTCTACCAGGAGGGGATGGGAGGGGGTTAGATCCAGATTGGGAAACTCCATGCGATTTGTGGATGAAGTCTTGGGGGGGGGGTAGGGGCCTCCGTGGGGTGCAAGGCCCTAGAATCTACGCTCTAGAGCATCCATTTTCTCCAGGGGAACTGATCTCTGTAGCCCAGGGATGAGCTTCAATTCCAGGGAATCGCCAGGATCCACCTGGAGGCTGGCATCCCCACGACACTGCAACTGATCTCCAGGGGTCAGAGATCAGCTCCCCCAGAGAAAATGGCCACTTTGGGAGGCGGACTCTCTGGCATCAGACCCCACTGGAGTCCCTCCCCTCCCCAAACCCTGCCCTCCTCAGGCTCCGCCCCCCCAAATCTCCAGGTGTTTCCCAACCTGGCGCTGGTGGCCTACACAAAAAACCACACACACACCCCAGCTGGTGGCCAAGGGGGACCTGGCAACCATACACAGGAGTCCCTGCCTTTTTTCGTTACTGTTTGAGGGCTAGAAACCTACATGGCTTTTTTTAAAAAAGGAGAGTTTATTAACGCCTTTCTGATCTGTTAAAGCTAAATGGAAACTATGGTAGTAAGGGGGGGGGAGACACAGCTGAATTTCACGTTCGGGGACCAGTGTTCCCTCTAAGCTGAGTCAGTGTGAGCTAGCTGAGTTTTTTAGCCTCCGGCTCACACATTTTTGTCTTGGCTCGGGGAGGAGGGCTCCAGAGCAAACTGATTGATGCAGCGGCCAAATTGCTCGCTCACAACTTTCATGCCAGTAGCTCACAAAGTGGAATTTTCGCTCACAAGACTCTACAGCTTAGAGGGAGCGTTGTTGGTGACTTGACCTGGTTGGGGGCTGCGGGTCGCATTTCCCCCGCCCCCATCTTGCTTTGACAAGCCCCCCCCCCCAGTTTCCAGCAGCATTTGCTACTCTGAAGCAGTGGCTCACGAGAGCTGAACAAACGTCAAATAAAACCGAGTCGGATTGTGAAATCTAACAGGGACAAACTGCGGACAGCCTGGTCCAAAATCTGAAATCGTCTTAGCCTGAATGCTGGGGGCGCTGGGAGATGATCGGACGTGCTTAAGAAAGACGCCTCGGACACTGTCCACGGGTGGAAAATGTTTCGGCTACGGGACTGCTGCCCCCACCGGTTAGGAATCCGGCCTGATCCAATCGCATCTTCCGAAGACGACAACGCATTGATTTTAGGTAGGAGGTTTCTGTGCTGCCTCTTCAAACTCCTGAGGGAGTATAGTATACAACATTACAGTATGGTATAAAAAATTGTATTTTAAAATCCCACAGTTTATTGGCCAATTTCTGGTATCTATCTATCTATCTAAGATATCTATCTATCTATCTATCACTGCTCATACAGCTATCACCTTAAGCAGAAATTAGAAACCGAAGAAAATATTTTAAAAGACCTTACTCAGTATTATTTATCTTATATTTGATTATTGCGCCTATGGATTTTGTCACTGAGAGGGTGACACTATTCTTGGTATCCGATGGTAGCCATGACACCTGGGCTCACACATTTAGCAGTTCCGTATCTTTAAGTCAAGGGGTGACTAAACGAGCCCTCAACTCATCAACTATAGGGCACTCCATAATCATATGTTCAATGGTTTCGACGGTATGATATGAGCATCTGCGTGTTCTATTAGGCTGTGATACTTGATTATATCTGCCCTCCAAAACCACTGAGGGAAGAACGTTCAGTCTTGCCGAAGTAAACGCTCTTCTTAGTTCCCGGACTGTCAGTTGATAAAAATATTTCGGCAGTTGCATCGGGAGGGCAATTCCCAAATGGGGTTTCTGATAGGACAGGTGTCAATAGGCCTCCCTTGCTCCGGGATCTTTGTGCTAGAGGACTCCCTCCTAATTCAGGAAGGCCCGCCCCAGCCTCCTGCAAAACTGCGGAGCTCTCCCACGCCTCTTAACATTGAAAAGGCTACATATTAAGCTCAGAAGAACTGGTGGTTCCTGGCCCAAAAGATATTCAGCTGGACTCGAGCAGGGCCTTTTCCGCCTTGGCCCCAGCCTGGGGGAACTCTCTGGCGAATGACACCCGTGCCCTGTCCGACCTATTAAAGTTCCGCAGGGCACGTACGGCAGAGGTATTCCGCCAGGCCTTTGGTTGTCCGGCACCCCTCCCTCCTCCCCCATGACCAAATCCTAGCACGGCCATCTTGTTCTTAAAACGTCTTCAAATACTTAAAGGTCTGAATGTTCTTAATATTGATTTTTGTTTATGGTTTTCATTGCTTTTATAATGTACTGGATTCTGCGGTGGCGCAGGGGATTTCCCCCTGCTTAACATTAAGATCTGAACTGCCATGCTTTGGCAGTTCTAGCCCCGTGCTGGTGTGAGCAGCCAAGCCTTGCCCTAGCTCATCGTCTACCCAGCGATTCGAAAGCTTCGGCGAGTAGATAAAGTGGGGACCACCCATAAGGGGGTGGGCACACCCCTCCCCTTGGGGAAGGTGTTAGCTGCCAAGGCAACTTCTGAGGCGGGGCGACCGGAAAGACAAAAGAGCTGTGTCGGCTTCCCTGCAGTGGAGCAAGTCGGCCAGGCGGTGGCAGTGTGTGGCTGCACAGCATCAAGAAGCCAGACGTCATCAGCCAGCCGACAAGATGCCGTAGGAACGCGACTGACCCAGCCCGCAGATGAAGCCCGGCTAGCTGCAATGTGTGTGTAATTAAGGCTGTATGTTTGTCTTCCCTATCCCCACAAATATTGTTAGTCCAACTGTCTCAAGAGTAACTGTAAATCACTCTGAGCCCGCAGGTATGTGGGAAAGAGCGATCAATAAATCGAAAGCATCATCGTCATTATTATTATTATTCTGTTGTAAACCACCCTGAGCTCCGCGCAAGCCGGGAAGGGCGGTCAAGAAATCTGATGAAATAAGTAAATAAAATAAACACAGATGTATTTAAAGAATTCAAGAGTCTGCCTCAATCCGCAGCTAAGGGGTCCCTGCACCGTCACTCAGGCAGAGAAGGATTTTAAAACTCCCTCGCGGCACACGCTTTCTCGAGAGGAAGAAAGTCGGCGGAGGAAAATGTTTCATGTTCTGCAGCCACTTTTAAAGGAATGGGTCGGCCATCTTTAGAAAGGGCAGCGTTTGAAATGGGAGCTCCCGTTTGTGAGACAGACCTGCATCGTGATTTAAAAATAACTTTTATTAACAGGAACAGAAATGACTGGAACAGAAACGACGCTGGAGGAAGCCAGACAGCATTTTTCTGGGGCACTGTTTGAAAGCGCCAAGGAACTGGACGGGCTTTGGTTCTCTCTCTCCACCCCACCCCACCCCCCTTTCCTTCCTCCTTCCGTCGGGAAGAGGAAGAAAAGACGGGACGTGCCGGTTGTCTGGTGGGGTGACACCGAAAAAAGAGAGAAAAGTAAAAGGGGAGAGAGACAAGGAGAAAAACTAAAGAAACGGGGAAAGAATGGGGGACGGCAGGGGAAACAAAGAGAAACATGGTAAGATAGGGAAAGAAAAAAGAAGTAAAGGCAGGGAGAAACAGAAGAGGGGAGGAGGAAAAGAGAAAGGCAAGCAGAGAGGGACAGAATGGAAGGAAGGAAGAGGATAGGAAAAGCGTTGGAGAAGGAACAAGACTAAGGAGGAAAGGTGGAACGAGAAAGGGGATAAACTCTGAGAGACGGGGAAAGAGTGAGGAGATGGTGGCGCAGACCAAGAGGGAGAAAGGAGGGAAGGCCGAAGCAAAGCAGGGAAAAGAGGATGGGAGGACGGCGGAA